GGGGACTAGTTAATCTTGGTCCAGGAAGAGAGGACCTTTGGACTATCATGAGAGAAGAGTATGAGAGGAATGTGGGACCCTATCCAGAGAAGCAGCGACCCCAGAGATGGAGACAGAGATAAAGGCATGGAGAAACAGAGTAGCTGAGGACTGTAGACTCATGGAAAAAGAAAGGTTGTATGCTGGTGGCCAGGTGCTGGAAGCAAAAAGCAGACTTGCAGAATGTGCCCTTTAGATGTTATAAATGATGATATATTCCTGGGTGTTTTTGTGTTCATAAAAAAATTTTAAAAACAAAAACAGAGGCAATAGAAGCAAATTCTGTTAAATTATGATGCATGGAGGAGATTTATTCAATGCAATTTAACAAATTAGGATGAGTTCCAAACCAATGTTCTCCCATGTAAACAATCACTCAATTCATAATGAAAGGTTTAAAAAAATTTTGTTGTAAATTGAGTGAAGGTTTTAAAAAACACATCAATTTTACATTTAACAGCTCAAACACTTTGTTTCATTTCAATGATTGTAATCCTTTTACTTAACATCAGTAATCCACTTTCATCCTGTGATTCTTATTTCCATTTAACCTTCTTTTCCAACCCTTCTGAATTTTGTCCTTAAATAAAGGCTGCACTTTTGATCTTGAATAGATCACCCATCTATCATGGAGTGCATATATCACTAGTGAAGCTTCCTCACTCCCACTTCCCCCAACATATCTATCTATGCTTGGCTGGGAATTGAGCATGAAGGTAAGTTTAGTTTCAGACCTGAATGGTGCCAAAGAGTGATTGTCTTGAGTTCATTCCAATATCTTTCTGATAAGCAAATCTGGCCTCTTTGTTATAATTTTGAGTTTTGTTACACATTTTCTCCCACTCTATGCAGGATCTTCTAATGCGATTCCTATTAGAACAGGATTGGCACAGAGGCAACAGCAATGGGCTCAAATGAAGCAGCAACTGTGAGGAAGACACAGTACCATGTGACTATGAGTCCAACCCAACTTGACAGCACTTAACAACAACAAGATATGAAAAGTTGCAAGTAGTATTCAGGCACCAACTAGTTCTTCTAGTCTCAGGGTCATGGAGACCGATGTTCACATGCTCCATTAGTCATGAGACTCATCACCAATCTTCACTCCTCTACACATGGAAACACAAGTAGTTGTACTTTACATGGCCATTCATGAACTTTGAAGACCCTAGTCACTACTCATTAACATAGGATGTAGAATAATGTCTTTGAGGACTTTGTTATGCTAATGGACCATGATGCCCTCAAGACTGTAGTACTGGGCCACCAGGTCCTGCCACACATGCCCTCAAGGTGTTGGCTAATATATTAGAAGTTTTCATCATTTTATGCCCTGTACTATCCACCACATTAATGCTAAGTTTGCAGCTAAGTTAAATATTAATTGCTAATCACAATATTTGTTGTTGTTGTTGT